GGGGGGGGGGGGGGGGGGGGGCACCGAAGAGAAAAGGGTTGGGTAAACAAAATGTTGGGTGCTTAACTAACTCAAGGGTTAGATAAAAGTACTATCATTTCCAAAGCATGTCTCACTCAAATATTGAAGATTAAGCTAATCATGGTCAATCAGAGCATAGACAATCCAAAAAACATCTCCAATGTCTTTTGGATTGTCTATAATCAGAGTCACTATCTTGATCATTTTCCGATTTGTCAGGAGACAAACGGTGTCTTCAAAGAAAGTACATGTGTATACAACATGAAACCTTAGTCTGCAGAAAATTACACAAGCAGTTATCAAACTCACAGAAGTTGTAAAAGACATGTGTAACAACGGAGTAGTATTCTTTTGTAAAGTTTTTGGCCAGGGGTGACTATATTTATATTCTAATTGACGTTTGAGGTTGGGTACAGAGAAATTTTGACTTTTAATGATAGGGTCAGCAAACTTTTTAGCAAGAAAACATCTCTTTTCGGCGACACCCCCAACCATAAATAATGACCGGTCCCTAATAACTTCGAAAATTCACTCTTATACAGCTATCGTACAAGCTATGCAGTAAAATACATGTATATTATTGAAAATTTATCAAATAAACATCCAGGTAAGAGACTGTTCAAGAATAAGATATCAACCGCGCCTACAAAATCCAACTTCATAACATATCACGAAGGTGTGCCTAAGTCAATGTAAAAAAATCAATGTGAACAATTAGAAATCAGGCCCATGGTATCTGAAAAGCATGCAGTATAACAATGGTGTGGTGCAATAACACAGATTATGAAGATCATTGTCATTTAAATTAAAGGGTTAAGGGTTAGTCATAAAGTGTTAATTGATTACAAATTTTCATTATTGTACATAACACAACCATATAAATACATTGATAATTGTTTTTTGCACACCTGCAAATAGTATGTATGTCACTGCATCTATAAAAGGTAACTTTGAATGTCATTCATGAACCTTCCAGGAATGTTTTGCGTTGGTTAATGTCTCAATTTGTTAACATCAATTTTATGAATTAACAACATAACTTGAGCCAATACGGTAATGACCCTATCTTTACAGCAATGACGTTGATTTCTGGACGAACAAAGGTTCTTGTAATGATAGATTACTTCCAATTGAAAATTAGAATTACAAGAACGATGTATATATATAGCTGCGTTAATTGATGAGAGGGATAAAAAATAATTGACCACACATTCCAGACAAAATTTTACGGACAGTAAAAATAGACAATTGTCTCCCACGAAAGTGAATAGAACCTATAGATTTGAACGTTTAATATTGAAAATTCTCCATTCTCTGACAAATAATATAATTATAGAACTTCGTCAGAACTGCTGTAATTGCAAGAATTAATAATAAAAGTTTCATCCTGACTAAAAAGAACGCAATATTATTGGCTAATAAACTTCGAATCTCAACTTCCAAGTTCGTTTTCTTTCTCGTTTTTTGATATCAGGATAAAACACTATAGACAGTACTTCTATTAAATGTAAGTAATATGAATCACACAATTATTATCATAGATATCAGGATATTTACATATAATGACAAGCCCAAAATGTTATTCAAAATATTTTGAAACAACAGTCAAGAAAATATTCTACCAGTAACCTGATCACCCTGTACAGATAAGATCAAATACGATCTTACCTATCATAATGAGTGTACTACATTAATTTGTCCTATGAGAGAAGACGAGCAATCCAGACCACATTTAGTCTAACGAGATCAGCCTGATCATATTTCAAGTCGGTCAAGTCATTCCATTTGAACGGCTTGAATGTTTGAACATTTCCATTTAGACGTGGTTGCGTTTATCAATTCATCTTCTTCAGTTTCACCAGGTATTTCTAATTGCTCTAATTTATATTCGCCAGTTTGTTCACATCCTGCATCGAACTGAAACTTGCCTGAGCCAACAGACAAGTCATCCAGGAACTTTCCAAGAAAACGGTGATTGGAATAAAGAATCTCCCCAGATCCTTGACGTCTGCCACGAACCCACATGCCTAGCAAGAAGAATAAAGTAAGTTTAACATTGCCTCTGAATGGGGAAAAAGACAAATATCAAATTACATTTGTGCAAAAATGCCCCTAATGACCAACTCTGGTCAGTAGGAAGAACAGTTTAAACAGCGTTAAGAGTAATAAGCAGCTAAACCGACGTCTCGAGCGTTGGCTCTTCGTCAAGTGAATTAGCAAAAAGGGCTTTCGCTCGAAACATGGGATTCCTCACGAACATTTTATACATTTGCTTATTATTTAATAAACAAATTATTTTGAGGAAGTATATATGAAGTCAGAAACGAGGTTGGTATGAAGTAAATATACAGTATTAATGATTGGAAAAGTTCACCTATTTATCCATACTCATCAAAATAAACATTTCACAATTTTGAGTGGTGAATACCTTTATATTTCGCGCCACTTGCTGCGTACGTGTAAGTCCCTTGACCATGTCTTTGATGCTCGTACCAGTCCCCTTCGTAGATATCGCCATTTATGTAATAATATATTCCAAATCCATTCCGTTGATTATCGATCCAACCACCTTCATAGCGAGAACCATCTGAAACGATATATTCTTTGTTTACTTTAACAATTGTTTACAGTATGACATAACAAATTTCGGGATAAATGTTCCCCTCGTAGCGTTGATCCCATTACACTTGGCATAACAAGTGCCGTTCTATCACGATCCAGTGATCAAAATGTTCCATTGTCTTTTCACTAATATTGTTTTGAAAATCCCACTACTTTCCATGGCCCCATTGTTTTGACTCACTTTAATTACTCCACAAAGTCAAAGGGAAATTTGACGTTTCACAGGATTACTCAGTTCAAGATTACTCCGCAAAGGTGGTCAACTTTACACATATTGCCGCTTTATGCCTTGTGTAAGCAAGTACGTTAAATTGCATATATTTGATACCAAACACAAGATCAATACTTATAATGAATATTTAACTCGGATCGATAAATGTGTTTCCATTTGGAGTTGACCACAAAGCGCTAAACGTATCACGTGACTGAAACCCAGCTATTAGTGGTTTGCAATCAATCGCTTGAGATTTATTTATAAGACAAAAATATGGCGTCATGTTGGAGGAAAACACGCTCCAAATAGAATAGTTGCTAACGATATTCTTTGGTTAGCGTTCCTCACAACATGGCAGCCATGACGTCAAGTGCAAACCAACAATTGCATGCACCTTCATACTGATACTGAACTGCTGCGAAGAAATTAGAAATATAATTTTAAACAACAAATAATGAGGTTAAAACTGGCTTCACCATGAAAATTTCAAAGTGCATGTGAACATAATTTTAGTGTCAAGATATGTTTTGTAGTAGTGAGGTGATAAATGTAGCATCCATGCAAGCCACCTAACCCTAGTACATAGAATCCTGGACGTAAGCCCCTCGATGAGCTTGATAGCTCCTGGGTAAACGTCTAATAAAAATATATGTTTATATAAAAGAATCATGGATACCTGGATACCAAAATGCTCCATGTCCGTGTCTTCGCCCCTTAGAATACTCTCCAACATATTTGGCAGAATTTCTAAAACGATAAGTTCCATTACCATGTCTTTTTCCGTACTCATATCTTCCTTCATAAGTATCACCATTAGGAAATGTTGCTTTACCTACGCCGTGTCGTTCATCATTGTTATTGCGACCACCTTCATATTCCTGAAAAACAGAAAAGTAGAAAAATATAAGAATGAAGTCGACCCAAAAGTCAGGTCATACGATAGAGTCTGTCCAAGTAACTATGGCCAAGTGGATATAGATCTTGTACATGACCCGTAGCAAAACTGTGCTTATATTAATTTAATCGGCCCTGTGATTGTGATGCAGCACTCTAACCAAATGAGCTACAGAGTCCAGTTGTACATGAACTTGCGGTTAGAGCTCGACATCTGGACTCAGTTGGTTAGAGCGTTGCACCGCAATCGCAGGGCCGCAGGTTTGATTCCTGCCAGAGGGCCTGTAGTAGCATTTTTCACAACTGCTCTGGTTAGGTCTAATGAATGTATGAAATTCACACTAGGAATTTCCATCTACAATAGAACAATGAGCTCCAGTTCCTTTCAATTTAAGCAGTTTTGCTACAGGTCATGTGCAAGATCTATTTATATAATAACGTTAAATAAGAATTCAAGCGTTTTCATTGGTCGAGAGCCATAATCTATTAGAGGACAGACGCACGGAATTACGTCACAATTAAGGTGGCCAATAGCATTCCCTTATTTGTATAGATGGCCAATAGCATTCCCTTATTTGTAAGGCCATGATTACTTTTATAGCCAAAAGTTATGTTGTTAAATTAAAGTTATGTCTTAATTTTGGAGATTTTCAAATCTAAGCCATATCCTTAATTTTCAAGAGTTTTACAATTTTGAGAAGAGATCATGTTGTATCACAGGATGTATGAGCTTTCGGAGTTATTCCTAGCTTGTGCAAAAGGCGAAAAACAATCAATAAGAGAGTTTCAGACTTGACTTCCACTACCGTTACCTCTCACTTGCTCTGTATCTCCGCATCTGATTGGTTAATCGGTTAGATTAAACGTATATGATTGGTCCCTTAATGGTAGCGGTGGTGGAAGTCAAATCTGAACCTCCCTAGTATTGTCACAGAAATCTCTTTAACCTATACGAAAAAGTAACAAATATAGAAATGTAAACCGAACAAGCTAATCATGCCAAAGTTATTTGTCCTCTACCTGAAAAAGCAAGCAACTTTGACCGTGTGGACGTTTGTAGATATAGAAGGTACTAATAATTTAATCAGTCCAAGTCAATTTAACAAATAGATAGGATTTTGCCGTTGTCTGTTCAGTTATAGATACACAGTATGACGTCATAATGTGGAAAGAACAAAAAAGTGGCTTCAGGGGCGTAGGAACCGGGGGGGGGGCAGCCCCCCAAGTTTTGCCAAGTGCCCTTTTTCCGGGAGCAAAGTGCCCTTTTATTTTTTTTTTGCGTGAAAAATTGTCATTAAGATTGCATTTTTTGCCCAAAGGGGACTTTTGAAAACTTGAATCTATGTTATTTCCGGAAAAATTTTGTTCATTTCCGGGAAAAATGTCATATTTCCGGAAAATTTTTTGGTATGTCCGGAAAATTTTTTTCGTATTTAGGAAAAAATGTGGTATATCCGGAAATTTTTTTTTGGTATGTCCGAAAAATTTTTTTGAGATGACCTCCCCCCCCACCCCCCGTCGCCAACATTTGCGGGAAAAATTTTTAGATGCCCTTTTTTTTCGAAAAGTGCCCCCAAAGCCTGCTCCCCCAACTTTTAGAAGCTTCCTACGCCCCTGAGTGGCTTACGAGCCGCCGAGGCTTCCCACATTATGCATACTGTGTATCCATAACTGAACAGACAACGGCAAAATCGTAGCGACCGCTCATTATTTATGGCCGGGGGTGGCATCAAAGAGAAAAAGGTTGGGTAAACAAAATTTTGAGTGAGTAATAAATAGGTTGGATAAACGAAAAACATAAAAACTCAGGGGTTGGGTAATAAAAATTTATTGTCATTTCCAAAGCATGACTCACTCAAATATTGAAGATTAAAAAGCAATGTCAACAGTCATATATGTCAATGTAAATCAACCAGAGTCTATCCTCATCATTTTCCAATTTGTTGGGGGTAAATAGTGTCTCCAAACGGAAAGTACATGTGTACACAACATGAAACTTTAGACTGCAGAAAATTGCAGAGACTGCAGATATTGGTATCCTTTTGTAAAGTTTTTGCCAGAGGCGGGTCTTTATTTTTTAATTGATATTTGAGGTTGGTTAAAAAATATTTTTGACTTTTTAATGGTTGGATCGGCAAAATTTTTACCAAGGAAAGCATTTCTCTTCGGTGCCCCCCCCCCCGCCATAAATAATGACCAGTCCCTCATATAAAAACCCAAAATATTTGGAAATTTGAAAAAGTCGCCGAAATTTTACAAATCACGCGTACATCATGTGATGCTGTACATGAAATAACTGGGGCCAGTTGCATGTACGAAGGCTGCACTCTAAAAACACCTTGGTTAAAAATTTCCTGGATAACGCAATCCACCGGATAGTGATTTTTTCAACAGATTCACTGTTCGGTGGATAGCACTTTGATAAATTAATGAAAAATTGGTTAATTCGGTAGATTTTTATGATAAGGATCGGAATGAAAAGCACATTACTAAGCCCTGGGCAAACTAGGAAACATTGTTGCGGAGACATTGTGATTCGTCATGTTTTCTCAAGTGTTTCTGTGTTTGCCTACCCGTGGAAACATCGTTGGCGTTGCAGAAACACAATTTGCTTCCCGATAAGCAGAAATGTTTCCTATCAAATTCAGAAACATTTCATGTTTCCCAAGTGCGATTTTTGTTGCGGAAACATTGTTTCCTAGTGTTTGCCCACCTTGGGAAACATTGCCAGGAAACAATGTTTCCGCAACAATGTTTCCTAGTTTCCCAAAGGCTTAACAATTCTACATGTGCTTGCACTTGTCAAATGACACGATGTTTGTAGTGTTTGACGTAATGTTGCAGTGAACTTTGATTACAAAACAAGGTTGAATCGTAAAATATAGATATAGACGATGACGATCCAGTCTTGAATAACCCAAGAGTAAAAAAGGATTAACCTTAACATACAACTTGGCAACTGTGGAAAAACAACGACAAACAAGGTTGTGGTCAGAGGATTGAAACGTAGTCTTTAATAATCAGATAAATAATGACAAACGGAAAATGATATAAGGTGTTTACTTACGCCAATGTTAATACCAGGATCTTCCTCGAATTCATCGGAATCGACATCAGACATGGCTGTAGCTTGGGCAAAGAAAAATGACGAGACTACAAGATCAAGACACAAACTGTAATTTCTCTATGACAACGACATATACACGAAATTTACATATTTTTTCCAAAAGTGCAGCATATTTAAATATTTGAAAACAATGACATGAACGCTAATTACTAAATTAGCCTAGTGGGAATACAATTTCTTACTATTTAATTGCACTGCATGACGTATGTACTACATACATGTTGGCCCCACCACAAACGAAGCTGTTCCAACCCATAGATACTTATATACACTAGATAATGCATCTAATTATTCTGTAATTCAAAAATTGAAGCCGTGATTGCAGACTCAGGATATTCCCATGAAATGAGAAGACTCGTATGTTTTCTATTTCTTAAACAGGAAACTTAAACATTAAGTTAAACCTATTCCAAATACATTTTCAAACTGTTCAAATGATGAAAGTTATTGTTGTTTTTTAAGCGTTTATTAGCGAGTGGGAAACTCCAAATGGCCGCCATCTATTCAAATAGGGGTAACCGCTGGAATATATTCTTGGCTTCAATTTTACTTAAAGAGATGCGCGCTATCTAGTGTATATAAGATAACTATGGTTCTATTATAGAATTTGCAGAATACCTAAAGTGTCGTGGCATTAAACACGATGACACAGCCTCGACTTCATCCTTTGATTTCTTTTGAATTTTATTCAGTCTTACGTACGTAATGTTTTAGGTTTCTGTCTGGCAAAAGAATGAAGTCGAGGCTATGCGTGTGTAATGCTAGGCTTCAGTAATTCGGCAAATGGTCTTCTATACAGTATACGTTAAATTCGACACTACTGCCAAAGAATTAATTTTATACCAAGAAACAATACACCAGATCGGAATTTTGTGTGCCGGTGTGCGAACCTGAATGATGCGTTCTGAGTCGGGTTAAAATTGCAGATGGATCAAATATAAAGCTGATTAAGATTCATGTGAATGAACCCCATTCAATTTATGCCCGCTCCCTAGGACCATGCCTGCGGAGGCTACCATCATTTGCTACTACGATAATTCAATTTTCTTGCCATCTTGGTCAATGCAGAGTGCTAAAAACGATCACTTTATATAATTAATGCAACACGTATACACGGATGTACAGTAATTTTTTCAAATAATTTTGTCACGCATAAAAAATTACCATTTCAAGTATTTGGTTATAAGGACATTTAACCTACAACTCTTAGGCCTGTTTTATACGTCGAATTTCGGTCGCGTCGAATGCAATTCAAAAAATAGATGAAGCTTAATGAGGTTTATCATCTCATTATCTATTGTCTTAATTGCATTCGACGTGACCGAAATTCGACGAATAAAACAGCTTAGTTATGACGTACATTTTCAGTACATGGCCACATTCTTTTGTATATAGCTACCTGGAATCATGCATAATTCAATGAATACCACAAAATATAATTTCCCATAATTTATTTTAACAAAAGTAAAAATATTTATACAGTAGATAACCTTATGTAATTGTAAAAACGCCTATAGTGTAGCATGAGAAATGATGTGTATTATATACAAACATGAATGTCGGTGGTATTATTAATTTATCTAATAATTAACTTTTCCTCAATTGTTCATTATGCTCCTCACTATGTGACCTTTTTTCTTGTTCTAATAATTCATCATCCTGAAATACAAGGAGAAGTATATTCGGTGAATAATTGTTAAATATAAGTCCGATAAACCAATCAGATGCGTACTAAATCAGCGCGGTAGACAAATCTGAACCTCTCTAATGTTGACCGTTGTTTCAGGCTCTCTCTAAAACTCTTGCATTTATATACGAACGACCTTATATAAACCCTACTAACCATCGTATATGGTATATATTATATATATATATATATATATATATATATATATATATATATATATATATATATATATATATATATATATATATATATATATATATATATATATATATATATATATATATATATATATATATATATAAATTATGCAATTTATTGATCACAATAATAATTCATAGCGATCGATACCCTTAATCATATGTGATTCTAAGAAATAGTTTTTAAGGGCATACTTAAATGAATTAACGCTAGATTTTAATATCCTTCGGAAGATTATTTCACATTTTAATGCTGCTGACCGTTTCAGATTTTTCTCCCTCAGTTGCACAATTATATTTAGGACAAACTGTGAATCACATTACCTAAGCTACATGATCAACTTAAAAACTTGCTAGCTTCTACAGTAGCTCTACAAGGTTCCCGAGATCGATTTATTTTCTTGGGTAGATGTCACACAGTCTCCATATAATCTATTGTAACCTTGTAAAACTTGTGCCAGAATTTGTTCGATTTGGCAGATTGATTTAGCAGAGTGCCTCGGCATGCACTGCCTCTTATTCGCAGGGAAGATAGAGAGCTGCTGCTCAGTTTGTATAATTGTATTGCACAATGGACATGCAATTTCTTGCAGTATGACGTATTATCAAAAATAATATCCGCTATTTTGGGTGGCAAAAATATTTTATTCAACCGACTACAGTACTAAACAGCTGCATTGAAAGTGTTCAAACAAAAGCAACAGCCGCAGTCTTTGCCATGGTCTTACTTTGACGCCATGTTTGCTTTTAATTAAATATTTTTAATTTGACACCCAAAATGGCGGAAGTCAACAAACACGTGTTGTGACGTCACTTGTTAAAGCCCAATTAATACGGTATAAATGGCTTACGATCAGTTACAGATTAAAAGCTTTATTCACCATCGACTACTGTCTTTTCTACACTTACGTCGATCTCGTCCTCGCTAAATGTTTCATCACTCATGTTCGCATCTGTGTTGAAAATATCTAGAATTTTTCGTTGGCTGCAAATACAAAATATTAAAAATGTATCATCATTCTATAGGGTGTCAAATCACTCACTACTGTACGTCATACTTTCTGAAGTCGTTTATTAAATTAACTATAAACTCGCGCGTAGGGTTAATGGTTTTAAACCTTCATAAAAAAGGAACCTCCTCCAATTGGAGAAGGTGTCTAACTGGATTAAAACAATCACATTGTTCTAACGTCCAAAGCGAGCTAATTAAATTACTTCAAGAAACTACGAGGCTGGCTTTCTTAAATTGTTCTTAGTGCTGTTTAGTACTTATTTCGAATGAAATACCGAATAGGTAATTCTAGCTTTTAATTTATGCGCGCAGGGGTGGGGTGGGAAGTAAGGTATCATATTGCTGATTATGCCGAAAAAATAAAAAATGGCGGCCATGTAAACACGGAGTGATAGCTTATACCTGTAAATATTGAAATATTTCGGTTGTTTCGGCAGTTTTTATTGAAATTTTTCAGCATAATTAGCAATATGGTACCTTATTTACCCCCCCCCCCCCTGCGCGCAG